GACACAGGCATGTCCGCCCGCCTCGGCTGGCTGGGGCCTGTCAGCCCACCTCGGGAGTCTGGAAGAGGAAATCGCCACAGAGGAATATCCCAGAAGAAAACTTTGAAACCTGCTAATGCAAATGGGCTTTGAACAATGTCTCCCCTATGAAGAACTTAAATTGTTTACCTGCAGGTTTCTGTCTGGTATCACCCCTTCTTCCTGCATGCCAGCCGTTTTTGTGAGCATGAATTACTGGCAGAAACAAAATCGTAGGGTTAATTTCCCCCATGCTTAAATTAGGAAGGTTAATGGTTTAGTAAATTGGGTGGATACTGCATTTGACAGCAATGTTCTATAAAAAAAGGTTAGCAAAAGTTTAATAAATTTTTCCTCTGATAAAACATCATTCCAGTTTGGGGTGGTTTGGGTTTTATTTTAAAAATCAATATTATATCAACCTTTTTGGTGCCTTTTAAAATTAATTAATTAATCGCTGATGACACAAAACTGGGAGGAGCAGCTGGTACACCATGGTACATCATGCTGCCCCCAGAGGGACCTTGACAGGCTGGAGAAGTGGGCTTACCAGAGCCCCAAGAAGTTCAACAAGGGAAAGTGCAAAGCCCTGCCCTTGAGAAGGAACAACCCCCAACACCAGCACAGGCTGGGGGCCACCCAGCTGGAAAGCAGCTTGGCAGAGAAGGACCTGGGGGTCCTGGTGGACACCAGGTTGGATGTGAACGAGCCATGTGCCCTTGCGGCAAAGAAGGTGAATGGTATCCTGAGCTGCATTAGGAGGAGCATTGCCAGTTGTGGAAGGAGGTGATCCTGCACTGGTGAGTGCTGTGTCCAGGTCTGGGCTCTCCAGTACAAGAGAGACATGGATGTATTGGAGAGAGTCCAGGAAAGGGCAGTTAAGATGATTAAGGGACAGGAGCATCTCTTCCCATGGGGAAAGGCTGAGAGAGCTGGGACTGTTCAGCCTGGAGAAGAGAAGGCACAGGGGGATCTCATCCATGTATATAAGTATAGGATGGGAGGGAATGAGGAAGATGGAGCCAGGCTCTTTCCAGTGATGCCCAGTGCCAGGACCAGAGGCAGTGAGCACAAACTGAAACACAGGAGGTTCAGTCTGAACATCAGGAAACGCTTTTTCACTGTGAGGGTGACTGAGCCCCGGCACAGGTTGCCCAGAGAGGTTGTGGAGTCTCCATCCTTGGAGATACTGAAAAGCCACCTGGACATGGTCCTGGGGAGCTGGCTCTAGGGGGCCTTGCGTGAGTGGGTATGTTGGACGAGATGACCTTCAGAAGTCACTTCCCACTTTGACCATTCTGTGATTCTATCAATTAAGCATATGAATAACTCGCTGAAGTCAGTAAAACTTTATACATGTTATGTGCTTGCTGTGTTGGAACATAAAAGTGCATCAGCTGGTTAGTGACAAAATATATTGCTTCCAATGAAACCAAGATTAGCGCTTTATTTGTCATATAGGAAAAATGACACAAAATGTTGTTACAAGCAAGCATGTTCCAGTTTGACCTTTGTTAGAAATGCAGACAAGTTATAGAGTCCTGTCCTTCCAACCTCAAATTTCCTATATCCTTCTCTGAGGATACAAAAGACCATAAGTTGTTCTTATTTTTGTGGTGGAATCCAAATTGAGCATGCCCTGGAGCTGCTTGTTCTGGAAAACGTTTCTGTAAAAAAAGTATGTTAATATTCTGAAAGTTAATTTTGGACTTAGTTTGTTCTCCCTCATGGCTGTAGATTTTGCAGGTGTCTAGGGCTGTCTGTTAGTAACTTGATTTAAAGGCAGAAAAAGCTATGAGAAGTTTCAGGGAGAGTATTTATTCATTAAGATTTGAAATAGGATTCTCATCTGGTGGCACAGAGTATTAAACAATCATCTGTGTACTCTCCGGGATGGCAGTAATTTGGCTGAGTACAAAAAGTCCTGGTCTTCAAAAAACCTTGTGGGAATACCTGTGTAAAATCATTGATGGCTATATTTCTTACTGTTCCAGATTGGAACATTGAACTGAAGTTTACTTCTAAGGACATAAAACACCTTAAGAGCCTGCCTTGCATAAGCACTACCACGCACTTTGCATAGCGCTATTTCTGCATATGTGAATTCTGTGTGGGGTGTCTCAGGTAACGAATACGACAAATATCCTTAGAAGATACTGAGGCTTGTAAGAGGAAAACATTAAATTCAAGATGGACAATTTCTGACTAAAGTTTTCAGGGTCAGGTTTCAAACTTTTTATTCATTCTAACTTTTTCCGTGGCATCTCTTACCTTCCCTTTTTGTGGCTAGACAGCTATATAAAATGGAATCAACACAGTTGCTTCCATATTTGTAAAATATGTCTGAAATAATTAACTTTTCCCACTGAATTTAAACTCGTTTTTGTGTTTGCAAAGGCAGCACATATAAGGTTCTCAAAAACATAGGGCAGAGCAAATAATGGTTTAATTTCAATAAACTTGCAGAGAGCTGTACTGAAATCACTTTGTCTGAAGAAGAAAGTGATAATCCATCAAGCCCGATGTTGTCAGCCTGGTTTCTGAAGGACGTGGTGCTCACCCGTTCTTGATGTCTCTGCCTGTATATACTGCCTAGTAACTTTTAAACCCATCAAGCCAACTCTGGCTAAAACTGGCAAAGGGGACAGGCATAGGATGGTAATAAATGCTACTATTTCCCACAAAATTCAACAACTGGTTAGGAAAAAAGATTCCTAGCCTAGCATCCTTGTTTGAGGGAGGGGCTGAAATGTGACCTGAAGAGTTACCTGCTCATCTGGCGGGGGGCATTAGCCTGGCTCCTTTGGAAATCCAGCAGCCTTCACTCACCCGTGGCCCAGAGGGCAGATGGGAGAGCGGGAGCAGTGTGGAGGCCTGTTACAGGCCTGGGGATGTGGCGTGGCTTAGCCTGGCTGGAGGCCAAGTGCCCACCAAGCTGCTCTATCACTCCCTCTCCTCAGCTGTACAGGAGACGGACTGCTCCAGCGTGGGTGCCCCACAGGGTCACAAGCCCTGCCAGCAAACCTGCTCTGGCGTGGACTCCTCTCTCCACGGGTCCGCAGGTCCTGGCAGGAGCCCTCTCCAGCACAGGCTCCCCATGGGGTCACAGCTTCCTTCACGCATCCACCTGCCCCGGCGTGGGGTCCCTTCCA